TTTCAACCAATTCTCTTGTTAACACTACTGCATCCAGTATTTAATATTTTCAACCAATTCTCTTGTTAACACTACTGCATCCGGTATCTAATCATTTTAACCAATTCTCTTGTTAACACTACTCTTTCCAGTATCTAATCATTTCAACCAAGTCTCTAGTAAACATTACAGTTACCCCTAATCCTATCCAGAAATGGAAAATTATATAAAAACCATCAATAATTTTGTTCTATATACTTATGTGTATTTTATATATATAGATACTATAGGCAGTGCATTTTGTTTAACGCCAGACTTAATCTTCATTCATAAATGATATTGTTCGGTAACTTTTAGTTTTCAAATTATCTTCTACTTGAGGCTTTTTATTTTATTCCGGAGGCCAGAGTTTATGATTCTAAGGTTAAGTTCAGTTTCACTGATCAAGTTTTTCTTCTCTCTTTTAAATTAACATTTTCAGTACCTTTAATATGAAAACAAAGAATGCCAAGAAGGTGAGAGGGTTTTATCAACACTGCATGCAGATCTAAATATTTTTTATGTTGACGTTTACACTGTTGTGCACTATGTACATTATTGCCCTTAATCTACGTTGTACAATTTCGAATATAAAACTATGAAAGGAATCGTAGGACTCCGGCCCTCGCATCTTTTTTCAAATTATAATACGATGATTTCACTAAAGAAAATATATATTTGTGTCTAAACTTGGTAATTAGAATTGTTAAATAAATATATATTTCTATCCTGTTGGATATTTAGAACTTTGAAGGATTGAAGTATTGTTTTTTACTGTTTGTGACGTATTTTCAACTGTATTGTTGTTGTCAGGAAGTGGGTTGTGGAAATGGTTGTTTTGTTTAAAATAATGGTTTTACTTATTTTATTCCTTCTCATTCTTCAAACCCTATATATGTACTGAACACTTTATTTAATATAACCGTTTCTTCAGTTCATACAGTGAGACACATAAAACGTGAAATAGGAAGACGACATCTAAGCATCTGGCAACAAGTTTTTTCATTAGCTTAAAAATCAATTTATTAGGATGTATGTGTCTGTGAACACCGTGCAAATATTGTGTTTCATGTTCATTGGAGTATTCAAAATCATACCTTGAGTCTTTTAATGGTGGTCCCTATTCGAAGGTTTTATGGGGTTCACTTTACTCTGACCATCTCTACTGTAGACTGTATTTATATGTATATGTACCCAGAGCATCTCTACTGTAGACTGTAATAAATGTTAAGTATGTAGCCAGACCATCTTTACTATAGACTATATTTATATGTTAAGTATGCACCCAGACCATCTCTACTGTAGACTGTATATTTATATATATGTTAAGTATGTACCCAGCAGACCATCTCTACTGTAGTAGACTGTATATATGTATGTTTAGTATATACCCAGACCATCTCTACTGTAGACTGTATATATATATATGTTTAGTATGTACCCAGACCATCTATACTGTAAACTGTATATATGTATGTTTAGTATGTACCCAGACCATCTCTACCTGTAGCGTCCCGAGGGAAGAATAAGAATATAGTGCGCCGGTCAGAGGTTATAAACTCCAATGGGCACAACAAAGAAGATCCAACAGACGCACCAATGCCTCCTCCAAAGGTAAAACTAGTACTGTCTTAGCAGTAATAAATCTTCCCCTACGTGTTTATTTTATCAAGCACTAGTTTTTAAATTGTTAAAATAAGGTTAACTCAGTAATTTAGTTTTTGCCACCAACTCAGTTTTCTAATCCCTATATCTTTGCAACCCGTAGACCTTTCATATTATAAACTGAAATTTTTAGATCAAATAGTTTAAGCTTGAAAAATCAAAGGGTTACTCCATCAGGTTCCAAAGATTAAAGAATAAAAAATTTGAGCTCATGACAAAAACTCGATTTTTTTTATTAAACATTGTATAAAAAAAAATATCTCAAATTAGACACAGAGATAATTAATAAAAGGATATGTTAAGAATTATTATCATAAAGTTTTGTAATCCCTATTGTTTCTTTCATCCTTATTGTTTTATATTGTTATGTTATTTCATTGCCATTGGTTATGTTTGTTTTTGGTATTGTTTTTGTTACATTTGTAGTTTTTTACATGTAATTATCCTTTTTTTAAGGTTCCTAGTTTGTATTTTTAACCCTGATTTTGTTTCAAGGTTCCATCCCTGCCCCCAGAGCGAAGTGAAACTATCAGCAAGGCAACTGGTGCTGCTGCTGCTGCTGCAAGTGAGACCTAATGTTTTATTCTTAAATTCTTTTATTGATAATTTTTTACTTTTTGATTCCTACATCTAACTTTGAATTGATTGAGTAGGAAGCGACGGTAATTTCGTCCCCCAACCAATCCCCATTTCTCTTTTGTATAAATCCTCAAGCTATTGATTAATATTGTTTTAGCTTTCTCTACCAACCCCCTCTCCCCATACCCTTTTAACATGATTTTCCTCATAAGATAAATATAGTATATTATCATATTTATTATTCATAACAGTATCTTTCTCTATTCTAATCTAATCTAAACACAAAGGACAAAATATAGGGTGTCTCTATTAAAAAGTCTTTATAAATGCTGTTGCTTAATAGAAACTTACGAAGATATTCAAGATGGGGGTGGGGGGGGGTTTCAGATCCATCACTTATCTTATCTTATCTTATCTTATCTTATCTTATCTTATCTCTTATCTTATCTTGTCTTATAAGCAATTCTGTTAAATTTATTCAAATGAAATTGGAACAAAATTCTTTAAAATATAATTCAATATAAAAAGCATAAAACACGGAGAAGGTATTCAAGTAATCCTTCAAGAACTTTGTTCTTTGGTTTGACTATTTAAAAGTATTGTCAGATCCGCAAATTAATGTCTCGAAATATCATAATGTCGTCACTGAATGCCATCGTAATTAAAATATATTTTTAGAAACAACAGCTGCGGATCGACGACGAAGTAACGTTGTGAAGGAGGTGGAAAGATTAAAAGAGAACAGGGAGAAGAGAAGAGCCCAGCAGGCACAAATACTTGAGGAGAAGGAAGCCCTCAGGAATGTTGATCCAGGTATACAGAATACTCATGTTACAGGGCTCTTATCACACCTTTTTTCTTCAAGTCAATGTTGTGTCAAAGTAAAGTTTATTTTGTGTTTTTTGATTAGGTAAAATCCAAGGTAAAAATTTAATTATTTTTTCTTCTTTAGGAAATCCAAACTTAGAGTAAAATTTTTGTTTTATTTAGAAAATTTGAAATAAAAGTTTAAACTTGCGTTCTTATTCAGGAAATCCGAATTAAAGCTTAAATATTTGTTCTTATTTTGGAAATCCGAAGTAAAAGTCGAATTTTTGATCTGGAAATCAGAAGCAAAGTTTATTTTTTTTTCATTTAGGAAATCCGAACTGGGAATTTCTGCAGATGATTTTAGATTACAAGGATCAACTAGAATTCAATCCTCTCCAGGTTAATTTTCTACCAAATATAAAACCTTCCCTGGTTTCATTTGAGTTTTTACATCAAGTTTGTGTCGGATTGGTTCAATAATTTTGACGTTTATGGTAACGAACAAACTTCAGACAAGCTTGCTTCCCAAGTCGCCATTTTTTCTTCTTTATTGTAAAACTCAACTTTTCGCGGATTTTTTTAAATTTGTGCATATTCAAAATCATGAATTTTTCAACTTCGACCAGCTTTATACCTTCAAGTAAGTTGCCGCAAACAAATGGATCCGATAGGTTTAGCCGTTTTGACGTTTATTAAGGATACAAGCAAAAACAAACAGACAGACAGACAAGCAAAGTAAATTTAATATAATTTCATTCATAATTTTTTAACTGATTGGAATATTAAATTCTTATTATTATTGAGAATCGATGATTTTATCATCATAATTTTGTGTGCCAAACCCAGTGAGCGGTCTCTCACAAACTGCATTGGCTTGAGATCTAATACTAATGATTCAATCATATCTATATAATAAAACAAGACATTCTTATGTTCCCTATAGCCGGCCAAACGGCTGGACCGAATGGGCTGACATTTTTTGAGGGAACCAATGGGTACCTGGGGGTAACATTTGTATTTTTCAAAAAAAAGATTTTTTCCAAAAATCGAAATAAAAAAAATTATTCCACGGTAAAACGCCCTTCAGCTAGTTTTACATAAAAAGTATAAATTGATAAATTTATTAAATGTTTCTTAAAAATGGAAAAACAAAAGACTACAATCCCTGTGTAGGACGGAGATCCGCTGTCTGATCACCAGATAACTGTATGTGTGAGGAAGAGACCGATGAGTCAAAAGGAAGTAAAGAAGAAAGAGGTTGATGTTGTAACCTGTCCGAATAGAGACCAGGTCAACAATATTTCAAGTTGCGATCACTTAAAGGGACTGTATGTGTAATTTCAAGTCACCTTCCATGCTAAGATGGCAATGCCCGATTCACATCGGTACCCTGAAAACATTCTGTCTGATCTAGCATGAATTAGATATCCATGTTTATCAATTTGAAAACGGATTATTTTCAACAAAAGTGACTTGTGCATTTCTTTAGAATGAGATATTGGAATTATCAGAAATAAACACTTATCTTTGTATAGCGGGTCACTTGAAATTACGCTTACAGTCCTTTTAGATAATGTAGTCAGAGAATTCAGATTTCTCTTTCATTAGAGTAAAATGTTACTAACTTGTGTACTAATTATGCAGCTAATGATTTACAAATAATATTTCAATTGTCATATTTTATCAAACGAATCTAGACAATTCGCAAAAACTAATTAGAATTATGTAAATTAGCTAATTTATTATTTCATAAAAATTTAATCATTTATTTATTTATTCAGGTGATAATTCACGAACCAAGAACCAAAGTTGATTTAACTAAATATCTCGAAAATCAGCATTTCAGGTAAAATAGATCTTATTCAGCTTTATATTACCCCCCCCCCCTTTTATCAAGATTATACTCAGGGCTATATATTTTTCTTTCCTTTCATCAAGATTTTACTTTAAGCTTTATATTTCTCTTTCCTTTTATCTACGGAATGAAGGTTCATCTTTTATTTATTTATCAAGATTTTACCAGGGTAAATATTTTCCCCCCTTCAGGTTTATTCAGGGGTTTATATTCCTCCTCTTTAAGTCAAGGTTTACGCAGGGGAGTGTATCCTAAAACATTTTCTTCTTCTGAGCAAAGTTGGGGGGGGAGTAAAATTCGACACTTCGTGACACCAAATTTTGTACAGGCTGTGTTTGGTTTAAAATTGAGATAGAAGGCTGAAATTTTGTATTCATCAACAAAGATCACGAAGAAAATAATTTGAGATCGGAGGTCATTAACCTCCATTTTGACCTCCATCAACCACTTTTTTCACTCTTAATTCTTCTAGATTGATCAAACATATCTAATTAATTTATAATAATTATTTACCCGTTTAAAAAACATTAAATTATATTTTTGTTTTTCATCATTAGCTTAAAATTAAGGATATCTGTATTCTGTAATTAACAATTTTTCTATTATTTTAGGATCGATTATGCATTTGACGAGCATGCTACGAATGAGCTTGTTTACAAGTATACAGCTAGACCTTTAGTACAGAGTATATTTGATGGAGGAATGGCAACTTGTTTTGCATACGGACAGGTACGGATAAACTTGTTTTGCATACGGACAGGTACGGATAAACTTGTTTTGCATACGGACAGGTACGGATAAACTTGTTTTGCATACGGACAGGTACGGATAAACTTGTTTTGCATACGGACAGGTACGGATAAACTTGTTTTGCATACGGACAGGTACGGATAAACTTGTTTTGCATACGGACAGGTACGGATAAACTTGTTTTGCATACGGACAGGTACGGATAAACTGGTTTTGCATACGGACAGGTACGGATAAACTGGTTTTGCAAACGGACAGGTACGGATAAACTTGTTTTGCATACGGACAGGTACGGATAAACTTGTTTTGCATACGGTCATGTACGGTTGTACATTGTACGAACATACACATGCTATGGAAATTGTACATTGTACATTGCAGGCTAAGAATCATATATTCTAGAATAATTCAGATATTTATTTATTGATTTATGGTCTCCAATAATTATATTACATACAAATATTTCTCAAAGAAATTTTACATTACTGAGCATAATAAACTAATGACTAATATCATATTTCTTAATACATATTTAATTTATCCACATCAGTATTTTTTATCAAATTGTCTAAAATGGCAATTAAGAATATTTAACAAGTTTTTAATATATACAATATACATACATAAAATTTGATTATATTTTATCAGATTTTTTCATTTGTTTACAATATACATACATAAAATTTGATTATATTTTATCAGATTTTTTCATTTGTTTACAATATACATACATAAAATTTGATTATATCTTATCAGATTTTTTTATTTGTTTATGTTTTAGACTGGTTCTGGGAAGACACATACTATGGGAGGAGAGTTCCAGGGGAAAACCCAGGATTCCAAGGGAGGAATTTATGCATTTGCTACCAGAGATGTTTTCAAGTTGGTGAAATCTCCTAAATATAAGAATTTGGATGTTCTTGTCTCCTGCTCCTACTTCGAGATCTACTCTGGCAAGGTGTTCGACCTCTTGTCCGGGAAGAGTAAGCTCCGCGTCCTCGAGGACGGAAAACAACAGATTGTCGTGGTCGGGTTGACGGAGAGGGAGGTCGACTGTGTTGAGGTCAGTTCATTACTTATCTACAATTTTCTCGTGACCAGGTTTTTTTTTCTAAATAATATAATTGCTCTATGATTGTAAGAATATACATTATGTGTTATACGTTATACGTTAGACGTTAGACGTTAGAAGTTAGACGTTAGACGTTAGACGTTAGACGTTGGAGTTAGACGTTAGACGTTAGACTTATTGAATTCCATCTCTTGCAAAATAATGCATCACTATTTATATTTGTTAATAACAACATTAATATTGTTGTTATTAAAAGATAATAACAAACCCGACTTTTCTTTGTGTATCCTAAAACATTTTCTTCTTCTGAGCAAAATTATAAAGAATATTTAGAAGTTTTTTCCTAATATAACATTATTAAATAATTGTAGGCTATATTACGAGTGGAAAACTTAATTATTGTAAATGTTGATTAAAAAGTTTTATTAATTTTTACCAATATGTGATGAATTATTGTGTATTTAGGATGTATTGAAGTTAATTACACACGGGAACGGGATTAGAACTTCAGGACAAACCAGCGCTAATGCACATTCATCTAGGAGTCATGCAGTTTTTCAGGTTTAGAAAAGATTATAGATAAATATAACAATCTTTTATTACTATTTACTATCATTAATTTTTTATTTGAATTAATCTTTTTACTCTCCTTCTCCCTGATTCTCTATAATTCCTTTATCCTCCATCTGATTCTCTTTAATCTCCACTCTCAATATTTTTATTCCTTAATCTCCTTACTCTCCTTCTCCCAATTCTCTATATAGTAAGTTACTTATCCTTCATCTTATTCTCTTTAATCTCCATTCTCTATATTTTTATTCCTTAATCTCCTTCTCCCAATGCTCTATATAGTTACTTATCCTTCATCTGATTCTCTTTAATCTCCATTCTCAATATTTTTATTCCTTAATCTCCTTACTCTCCTTCTCCCAATTCTCTATATAGTAAGTTACTTATCCTCCATCTTATTCTCTTTAATCTCCATTCTCAATATTTTTGTTCCTTAATCTCCTTCTCCCAATTCTCTATATAGTAAGTTACTTATCCTTCATCTTATTCTCTTTAATCTCCATTCTCTATATTTTTATTCCTGACTCTCCTTCTCTCAATTCTCTGTATAGTTACTTATCCTTCACCTGATTCTCTTCAGCCCCAATTCTCAATATTTAAATCTTTACTCCCCTTCTTTATTCTCTTTTTTTCTCTATCCTCCACCTGATTATCTTTACCCTTCAATCTCAATTCTTATTCTTCCCGCCCTTGATTCGATTATTCTCTCCTCTCTTACCTTCTCTTCAGATTACACTAATCCTTTCTATTCTTCAAATAATCATCCACTCTTTTTCTAAGTTCCTGTGTTATCTTTTTGCATTAACATTTTCCTTGTCATCTTCATACTTTGGCTTCTCTGTTTTAGCTTATCATATCTATCTATCTATCTTCTTATTCTCGTTTTTTCTCCAGCTAATTCTATTCATTATTTTAGATAATTCTGCGCCACAATAATAACAGGAAAACACTCTACGGAAAGTTTTCCCTTATTGATCTTGCCGGTAACGAGAGAGGAGCGGATACATCCTCCGCCAACCGTCAGACTAGAATGGAAGGGGCGGAGATTAATAAATCCCTGTTGGCTCTCAAGGAATGTATCAGGGCTCTAGGACGGAAAGGATCTCATCTACCTTTTAGAGCTAGTAAACTCACTCAAGTACTCAGAGACTCTTTCATCGGAGAAAAGGCTAAAACATGTATGGTAAGTAAAAACAGTTCAATACTGGGTTTCGTTTAAATTGTATTTTTAATGAAATTGTTTTTAGATTGCTATGATCAGTCCATCTTTATCATCTTGTGAACACACTCTAAACACTCTTCGGTACGCGAACAGGGTTAAGGAGCTAGGAGCAGCAGATCCTACTGAGATGCGAGGGAAAGCTCCTGAACCTGATCTAGGATATGGGTTCGAGGACGAGGAAGCTCTCTCAGCTAGGATGGATGACGGAGTCATGTCTCCTGAAGACAGTGATCTTGCACAACTCAGGTAAACTTTATGTATACTCTTATTTGTTCCAAGTCCTATATCTTTAAAACCCGATTGTGTAAACCTTTGATTTTCTAAACTTTGAATATTTCATCGTTGATATGATTGATTGACAGTTGCAAAGACGAAAGGATTAGAAAATTAAAGTATAATGAGATTTAGCATTTTTCTTTAAGGGTTTTTTCTAAGGAAGTGCACAATTTTGCATGTTATTCTTAAATAAAACTTTTAATTAGGTGTAAAATTGGATTAAGATGGCGCTCCCATCATAACCAACTTATGGAGGGAGGGTTTTTGATTAATAGTATTTTCGTATTTAATGAGACACCCTTTGAGTTTGCCTTTTAGTAAAATAACAACTTGTTATTACAGTGTTTTTTTCTCCATTAATTCCTCGTTAAATCAATGGATTTGATTTCGTTTGGTTTAATAAGGATATTTACTGCATTTAACACGTATCATTCAACAAAAACGCCATATTCTACTTAAATTTTTAACAAGGGGGGAGGGAACCTGAAACCATTCTTTACAAAAACCAAACTTGATCATTACATAGTTCATTGATGAAAAATGCTCTGCTCTAGACTAGAATTGAATAATTTAAAAACTAATAAATATAAAACACTCATTCTCTGTTATTAATTGGTATATACCCAATCAAAAACAATTTTTACAAGCAACAATCAATGTTAAGTTGAAAAGATAAAACTCAATTGGAAGATGCCCTTTATTCATACTTCAACATATTGTTTGGTAATATCCTTGAATACTAGGTATTCTAAAGTGAGGCACGGATGGCTGAAAATTGGTCATATAGCTGGGAACTTCGCTTTAAGCTAAATCTGAAACTTAAAAGTCCGGGTAGAAACTTGAAACTCCAATCCACTTCTGAAGTCTTATGCATTTATGCAATCCCTGCAACTTGTGATTTGTTATGACTTAATTTGTCCGTCGTAAACATTATGTTTTACCTGTTATTCTTCAGATCGTTAAACGACGGTGAATGTAGCGCGGACTGGTACAACTTCCAGGAATCTGTAGCTCACCTCCAGCTACTGGAGGAGGAGGTGGTGGAGTCCCACAAAAACCTGGTGGATAACATGTTGCTGTGGGCTAAACAGGACCAAAGTTTACTCGCAATGTCTAACGAAGTGGACTATGACCAGGACGGTAAGTTACAAATAAAAGTAATTTTTAAGAATAATAATCAGTGCTTAGGATCAGGATCCGTTGGATCCGCAAAAATATGCTGATCAATTCAAAAAACTGAAAAAAAACTTTTTACCCTCAAAACTCAAATCTGAACTGTAAAAAAAGAGAGATTATCAAAAAAATTCAAATCAATGAAAGGTTTCTCAAGTTCTTGCATAAAAATGAGCGAAAAAAAGAGAATGAAATTGAAAATTTCTGTTTTGTGTGCAAAATCAGAAAATCTTTATCAATTTTTATGACCTGGATCCGGATCCGAATTTGGAACCGGATGTGGATTTGGATCCGGATCGTTTTTTCAGTGCGGATCCGGATCCGCATCAAAATTAAATGGATCCTAAGCACAATCAACCAACATTAAATGTTAAAATAGAAACTTTTATAGTTATAACTTGCTTAAAAATTTATTAATGTTATAGCGTACGCACAGCAGCTTGAGGATATGATTGCAGAAAAACAGGAAATCCTGGCGAGTCTCAGAGAAAAAACTAGAGCATTTAGGTAAAAAAAAAATTCATTATGGAGTACTGTGTGTCATCTTCTTTTAATATCAATATCGCCACAAAATACATTCCAACCAATCATATCAAAACCAAACCTATTTAATCAAAACATATCGTCACGAAACATATCAAACTACAAAACATAACAAACGCAAACATACTTACAAACTTACAAACTTACAAACTTACAAACGTACAAAACATATCAAAAACAAAACATATTAAATACAACACGTAACTAAAACAATCATATCAAATGCAAAACCTAACAAACACTAATTGCAGAAAAGAACGTTGTAAAAAACAAAATACAATATCCATCAAATACAAAAAAAATGGCCAATGGAAGAAAAAAATCTAAATTCAAAACATATCAAACAAGCATTTAGGGCGTGCTCAGTGTACACAAATAGTTTTATTCTCATCTAGGGAGTGTTCAAGAATAATCTTATTCTAATCTTGGGAGTGTTTTATACTAACCTTATTCTTATCTAGGTAGTTTTCAAGAATAATCTTATTCTAATCTAGGGAGTGTTCCCTAATATTCTAATTTAATCTAGAGTGTTCACGAATGATCTTATTCTAATCTAGGGAGTGTTCACGAATAATCTTATTCTAATCTAGGGAGTGTGCACAAACAATCTTATTCTAATCTAGGGAGTGTTCCCGAATAATCTTATTCTAATCTAGGGAGTGTCCCGAATAATGTTATTCTAATCTAGGGAGTGTTCACGAGTAATCTTATTCTAATCTAGGGAGTGTTCCCGAATAATCTTATTCTAATCTTGGGAGTGTTTTATACTAACCTTATTCTTATCTAGGTAGTTTTCAAGAATAATCTTATTCTAATCTAGGAAGTGTTCCCTAGTAATCTAATTTAATCTAGAGAGTGTTCCCTAATAATCTAATTTAATCTAGAGAGTGTTCCCTAATAATCTAATTATAATCTAGGGAGTGTTCCCGAATAATCTTATTCTAATCTAGGGAGTGTTCACGAATGATCTTATTCTAATCTAGGGAGTGTTCCCTAATAATCTAATTTAATCTAGGAAGTGTTCACGAATAATCTTATTCTAATCTAGGGAGTGTTCACGAATAATCTAATTCTAATCTAGGGAGTGTTCACGAATGATCTTATTCTAATCTAGAGAGTGTTCCCTAATAATCTAATTTAATCTAGGAAGTGTTCACGAATAATCTGATTCTAATCTAGGGAGTGTTCACGAATAATCTAATTCTAATCTAGGGAGTGTCTGAACGAGGAAGAGATGAGAAGTCAGAACCTTGTCGGCGGAACAAACTAAATCAAACCGAAGATAAACCCCTCACAAAATATTTATTCTTATTCTTAACCTAACACGCACCAGTGCCCAGTTCATTGGTATAAACGGAGCTAACCCTAACCTACAACCCTGGGCCGAGCTAGGGTTTAAATTTTACCAAGTCTCCTCCAAGTATAGATTTTATGACTACTCTTCAAATATAAAGTTTAGTGTAGAAGTTTCTGAATTCGGTAAAATATGTTTTAATGACGAGGTTAATGGTGGTGTGATCCAAGCTCATGAGTTTCCCCTTTTACTTATATATTAACAAGTCACATATATTGTACTTTATACTCTGATACATTCTCAATTTATCCAGTTACTCCCGGTATAATTGATCATGATATTAAACAAATTCAGTTAAAATTTAAATATATTTTACTCCATCTGATTAAAATAGGTTGTTTCAGATGATAACAAGAGAAAAATTGATAATGATGGTTTATTTTATAAATTTGATCTTATCGTTAATCTGGAGGAATTTTCATAAAAACTTTTGAGTTAAGGGTTTAAAAATCTACAAATGAAGCAACCTTTTCTTCAAGATCTTTGTATCCATACATATAGTTTTGTTTTACTTTTTCAGAACATTGGCGTTGGGGAGGGGGGTGTTCTTATTTTTCATTTCTTTTTATTTCCTGGTTATAGTGTCTGCTAGAAATATTTCCTGAAGGTGATATTTCCTGGTGATTATTCCGTCGGATAATTCCTGGTTTAATATCTGCTGGAAATATATTCTGGTGATTACACTTACAGGAAATAATATTCTTTATTCTCTTCATTTCAATTAATTCACTAGTTTCCTGAGTTCGGACTAATCCCTCTACTATTTTTGTAATAATAGATCCGGAGAAATATTAAAACTAATATTTGGCGGCCGGACCACATTCACCAACTTTAATCTCATCTTTCTCGAGCTTTTTATCCAGACCAGTTTTATCAATAATTATTAACCCATTTAAATCTGTGATGTTTGATACAATTGCTAATATGGTTGAACAAAACCCAATTTTGAAACTAAATTCTCTTCTGGATCTTGTACCGCACTGCTCGTACATCATGTACGCCATGTACAGTACACGTATCCGTCCTAGCTAGTTCTACCAGATCAAGCTTTGTATCAGGTCTGGTTTCATCTTTATGCTTTGATCCTGTGCACAGGAAATTATGAACCCCGCTAACCAAAGTATTAACTAAATAATTCAATTTTGTAGAAAAATCTAATATTTTAAATAAAGCAACGATCAATTCAGTTATTTTGTATAAAAGGCAAACACTAAATGAGATAAATTATTAGTCCTCTCATTTCAGCCAACTTTAAGTAGAAACCAGATTGAAAATACAAAATAGAAAGAAAGGAGATGAGAAGGATAATGATAAGAAATTGATTTTTAACAAATAGAGGTTTAATAATATGGGTCCCTAATATTACAAGTAATAGAAAGGGACACTGTAAGACATAAAATATTGAGATATCAGAATTGGATGAGGAAATAAGAAGAGGAATGTTGAAATTGGAAAAGAAAGAGAAAGAGTTAATTTGGAAGGAATTTGATAAGGATTGGCAAAGAACATGACGATGGTAATGACTAGAATTAGGAAGGATTGAATGTGTAAATGAGAGGCAAAATTATGAGAATTGGTTCAGAAATAAAGGGGATTATGATGAGCATTAGACGATTAAAGGAGAGAAATGAAAGGGATTATGATAGGAATGGGATATCAAAATAGAAGGGACTTGGACAAGAAATGGATAATTAAGTAAATAACGAAGTTTACTAAATGAATTGGATATGAAAAAGGGAGGGATTGAATAAGAACAGGAGAAGAATAATGATAAGGATGCATGAATAAGAAAGGGCAAGGGATAATGAAAAAAATAGATAAGAAAACTAAACAGTAATGTAAAAAGGATAAAAAAAATGTTAAGGAAGAATGACGGGACAATGGCCTTTAGAGAGAATAATTATGATAATAATTCTATCCAGGGGAATAAAAGATGATACTGGGTTACCTAAAAAGAATGAGACTTTAGAGTTTAGGGTCGTCTTTACAGTCTCGTCCTTTTGTGGGTATCCCTGTATAAGAGGGGAAAATATTAGATTTGATTGGGAAGTAGGGAGGGATAATATGAGGATTTGATAAGTATTTGATAGGGATAATTTTAAGTAATGATTAAAAACATTACAGGGATAATAACGCGAATTGGATAAGAAAGTCTTAGGGATAATGATAAGAAAATGGAGGGGCATCATGAACAAAGTGAATTCACTTTGTATATTGAAAAGAAAGTGCAGGAGATTAAAAAGGAGAAATGACAATAAAGAGGAGAGAGGGATATGTAATGATTAAAATAATGCTAAGTGCAAGGTCGGAAAAACGATAATTGTGATGAATAAAATAAGATTTAATGTGATTAGAAAATAGGATAAAGTAGTGGAATACAGTAATATCCGGAAAACAATTGAATAGGAAGACGACATTGTATCAATGCTTGCAGGTGCATATGATGTTGTTATGATTTATTAAATCACTAATAAAGTGAAATGGGCCTGTTAAAATACCAGAAATGATATCTCTCAGGCTAATTAAACTTTTAACTTGATTCTAAAAGTCTTCTTCCTATTTCAGAGTTTTCTGGTTATCAATGTAGTTATACGAAGGTGGGGAAATTAAGCAGGGTTAAGAAAATCAGAAATATTAGGAAGGAAAAGTAGAGGAATTAGAGGGATATTGTAAAAGATGAGAAGGAAGAAAAGAAAGTGGAAGAGAGGTTTAAGGTAAAGGACGAGAGTCTGCACGAGATGGATAATGTAAAGTAGGAGGAGGAGTGGGATTTTAAAGGAGGAGGAGGAGGAGGTGAGGGATTATTTCAAGGATCGGAGGAGGAGAGGTATAATGAAAAGGAGGAGGAGGCGAGGCATGTAAAGGAGAAGGAGGATAATGTAAAGAAGGAAGAGAGGGATAATGTATTAAGGAGGAGGATTGGAATAATTTGAAGGAGGAGGAGGAGAGGGATTATTTAAAGGAGGAGGAGGAGGAGAGGTATAATGTAAAGGAGGAGGAGGCGAGGCATGTAAACGGAGGAGAAAAGCTATAATGTAAAGAAGGAAGAGAGGTATAATGTATGAAGGAGGAGGAGGAGAGGCATGTAAAGGAGGAGAAGGCCGGGATAATGTATAAAGAAGGAGTCGAGGGATACTATTAAGAAGGAGGAGGAGAGGGATAATGTAACGGAGGAGGGGCATAGGGATAATGCGGATAATGTAAAGGAGGAGGAGAATTGAGGGAAAATATAAAGGAAGGAGGATGGAGGGATAATAACTAGGAGGAGACTGAGAGAACAATAAAAAGGAGGAGCAGGAGAAGAGGGATGGAAAAAATTAGGGGGATAGAATGGAGAAGGAAAGGGATAATGGAATAGAGGGTACATATATAAAAAGAGAAGAGGAAGAATGAGAAAAGGAATGATTGATATGAGATCACTTATTTATTTGAATCATGGAATCTTTGTAATTCTAAAAGGTTTAGTTTTGAAAACTTTCTTTCCTAGCTCCCTAATGTGTAAGGTTTCAACTTTCCTTTTATGTGCCGAGAGTTCCTTACCGACCTTTCTTTCCGTGTATTGAATTTTTTATTGCGCATACTCGAGTCCTGGAGTTTAGTTTCTACAAGATCCGCTAGAGTGGAATTTGTCGTTGTGTTGTTGTCAAATTTTGTGTATTAATTTGTGAACCTCAGCTGAATTCAGCTGAATACAGCTGCACTTTTCTAACATTTCAGCTGTCTGTTTATGTCAAATTTTAAACGAAAAGGCCGCTAATTATCCGCGTTGATTAGTTTTGGTTTGTTATTTGTGATGTGTGATAAAAATTCTCACATAAAGGTTCAGCCATTTTGTCAAATTCTGGTTCCGAGAAATGACTTTATAAATTCCATAATCCACAGATATCAATAATAATTGTAGTTTACAATTTACAGTTACATTGCATTGTAGATATATGTTGCTGTGAATTTGCCAAAAAAAAGCTTTGAGATGTTGAATTATGCATATATTCAGAAAATTTGTCTATAAAGAGTTCCAACAAGGAAGCCATGTAAATGTAATGATTGTATAATAAAGGATAGAATTGTAACACTTAAGTATTTTAAAAACTATTTTATTTTAGATTATAATGATGTGATGAACCAGAAGAGAGGTTGTCCCGCCATGAGCTCCGATGATATTGATCTAGAGACTAGACAAGTTTATTTTATACAGACAGAAGGTCCTGATGGGTTACAGAGCACAGAGGTTCGTTCAATAGTAAATGAGGATTTGCGTTTTCATTGGTTTATTAGGATAGGAGTTTTCATTCGTTCATTAGGATAGGAGTTTCATTGGTTCATTAGGATAGGAGTTTTCATTGATTCANTCAATATTGGGGTTCTCATTGGTTCGTTTGTATGATTCTTTAGGATAGAAGTTAGCATTGGAGTTTCCTTTGATTCTTAAGGATATTTGTTTTCATTGGCTAATAAGGATATAGGAGTTTTCATTGGTTTATTAGGAATTCAGTGCTTAGGATCCGGATCCGTTGGATCCGCAAGATTTTGGTTTCCTGGATCCTGATCCACAAAAGTATGCGGTTCCACGGATCCAGGTCCAAGGATCCGAGTCTAAGGGGCAAAATATCAGAAAAAAATGCAAAAAAAAAATTACTATCAAACCCCAAATCTGAACTAATGAAAAAAGAGAGATTATAAAAATTTCCTGATTTCTGAATGGTTCATCAAGTGTTAGCATAAAAACAAGTGAAAAAAATTTGACAAAAAATTTAAAAATTCTGCTTTGTTAAAAAAATTCAGTATATTTTATAGAAATAACCTAGATCCGGATCCATTTTTTTCCAGTAAGATCCAGGAACCGGATCCGCATCCGCATCAAAATTAAATGGATCCTAAGCATTGATTAGGATAGGAGGTTTTTTTGATACATTAGGAATAAAATAGTAGTTTGTATTTGTTTATTAGGATAGTTCTCATTAGTTCATTGGGATAGGAGTTTTCATTAGTTCATTGGGATAGGAGTTTTCATTGGTTCCAATCAGGATAGGATTTTTCATTCGTTCCTGAGGATGAGAGTTTTTATTGGTTTATTGGGATAGTGGTTTCTTTGGTTCATTAGGATAGAAGGTTTTCTTGATACATAAAGAGATGAATTTTTATTGGTTCTTTGGAATGGAAGTTTTCATTGGTTCATTAGGGTAAGAGATTTCATTGATTCCTTAGGAAAGAAGTTATCATTGGTTCATTAGGATAGGTATTTTATTGGTTCATTAGGATAGTAGTGTAATTGGTTCGATTTAGGGTAGGAATTTTCAGTAGTTGAATAGGAGTTTCATTGGTTCAATATCATAGGAGTTTCATATTGGTTCATTAGGATAGGAGTTTAATAGGTAAATTAGTATCGAGATAAAAAATTTAAGATAAATGATATGAATTGATTTAAAATATAATAAAATAATAAATAACTATGTTTGTCATAAGACCGAATTGTTATTTCTCCAGGTTGTCATAACGGACCTAGGCGAGCTGGGGGAGAATGCTATCGTTGTATTCGAGGAGGCAGTCGGAGTAGGAGCAGAGGAAACCGTGATAGGAGGAGTTGACGACCTAGATTCAGTTTATTTAGAATCAGACTCCGATGTATTACAGGTTGGGATTTGTTTAAGTATTTACTTCGATATTTAGTCATTATATTAAAACTTAGACGATATAAGTTTAAAGCTTACAATGTTTTATTCTTTCTTAAAGGGAGTGACTGGCTATGTAAGGTAGTTGAACTGAGTATACAGTATTGTCGAAGGAGTTTTGAACGTCGAATTTGCGCTCAAACTCAGGATTTACAGATCTTTCAAAAGTTTTATATGTCTCAAATGAAGCCTCAAGAAGCTTTCGACAATACTTCAACTACCTTACATAGCCAGTCACTCCCTTTAATTGAAATTATGTAACCCCCCTTCAATGTATGTGGTTTTTATATCGGGGACATACAAAGGAAATATAAAGAATGCGCAAAATTTAAGTAATAGCTTATAAGTTCTGTAAAATAACGAGTTGCTACTAAAATATTAATTACACTTTCTCAATTTAACCTTGAAAGTAAATTTGAATTTCCCTGGAAAAATCTGAACCAATCAGAGAAAAGGATTTACGGTGAATTATTACGTAACCATCGCTCATCAGTTTGTTTTATTTTAAATTATTTACGTAACCGAAAACAAAACATATTTCAAGTTACAATCGTTTTTTTGGGTTAAATGCTAAAATTATTTAATCTTAAACGTCAAATTTCTTCAATCAAGGTTTTTTTCTTTTGAATATATCGTAAAGTTGAATGCCGTTTTCTCAGTTGAATGATGATTGATTAATGGACGATTATAGGGAAAATGCAGTATTTCAAGATTTTAATCCTGGGTTTGAATTTTAACTCGTCGATTTTGGCGAGTTAAATATTTAATCCCAGGGTTAAAATTCAGGTTTAAATTACCTCAAAAATACCATTTAAGCTGAACTTTTCATTCTTTAGTTTTAGACTCTGTGGACTTCGCATTTTTTCAATTGTAAGTGGGACCTCAGCCCCCCTGAATACGCCTATGATTGGGATTCTTATAAGAATAAGAAGAAAATTACGATAATTTTAATCTTGTCTAGGTTTTTCAAGATGTTGAGAATATTAAGCTGGAGGCTGGAGATCTTGGAGATGTTAAGATGGATCCCGACCTCGGGGTTCACTACGAGACCGTAGAGGACGTGAATCTAGGAGATACAACCAGGGTTTACCTCAGTGTTGGTTTAGATGAGGAGTCGGAGCACTCCGAGGTTCTCTCTCTAACCAGTAGTACAGACGAGGTACTTGGAACCGGACGCAAGACGTAGTTGAACTACGTTGACCTACAGGGGTTACCTACAAAGGATGAGATTGTAAAGACGATACAAAACTTTAAAAATATGACGATTTAAAACGTGATTTCTAATTGAGTATTATACTGGTTTACTAAATAATAAGCACAAAAATAAGACAATTTTGGCCTTAAGGAACCCTTAATGCAAGAAAACGGACTAAAAAAATTCCGTACAATCGTCTCTGAAGTCGCATCCTTTGTGGGTAACCCTGTAGTTAAACCACTTGTTTTGTTAGGTCGGTTAAAGTTGAAGAGAAGTGGTTCAACTAATTCTTCGTTCTAGTTATTTTTAAGTCTGGTCCCTCGACAACAGGAGAAATATTTTTTCGAAGCAAAAAATAAAAATGTATTTTCAAATTTTTTTCCTTGGTGTGTTAAATTTATAAACAAGAGATAATCCCTCCTTAAATGAATTTTTTTTCAGCTTTTGACGGAACAGCCTTTGAATTTAGTGAAGAAAGATAGGAAAAGAAAAAGTTCTTCTTTGGACGGAAAATCTGATAGTTATCTTTGTAAACTGTGCAACACATACATTAGTAAACCTTTGGAAGAGGCTCATAACAGGTCAGTTTACTACTGTAATCTTGGTTTAATTCAGCAACTTTGTTGCATTTGCAGAGTTTTTGTATGTTACTAATGCTTCTCTGTCACATTAACTGGTTTGCTAGAAATGGGAAGCCGAGTTCTTGTCAATACTACAATGGTCGACTAGAGAACGTCTCCGATTGTGTACGTCCTAATCAGAGTAGAAGCTAACGTAGGACATCTAGCGTCCAAACACTCGTCCTCTATAGTACTTCATTAGGATCTTTAGGAACCTTATTCTGATCTGGTTTTACAGTTTCTCAAAGAATTGTTCAGCTAAAAAAAAGAATTGTAAGATTGAGAAATGAAATAAACTCTGAAAATGAAATATAAGAAAATACTGAAACATACACGTACATTACGATATAATAACAATCATTACATTTACATTTGTCAGGGGACAAGAAAGCAAGATATTAATACTAATTATACTATTACGACTGTCTATGGATACCATGATAACAATAATAAAAATAATAATAATTTCTCAATTACAATTACAGGGATGTTCATGCGAACATTGATCGACTGTCCTGTTCTGACTGTGGAAAACTGTTTACATCAAAACGATCTCTATTTGGGCATAAAAAGGAGAAACATAGCGGGACCCTGGAGATATTTAGCTGTCCTGACTGTGGGAAGAACTTCTCTAGAAAATCAAATTTAAAAGTAAGTTGTATTTCTTCAAGCTGTAAACCCAAAAACATATATTTAAAGAGGTGTCAGATTAAAAACATATATCTAAAGAGGTGTCAGATTAAAAAAATCAAAATGAAATAAAGTATTTTTTCAGGCACATCGAGATTCTTTACATTTTGGGAAGAAGTTTCCCTGTTCATTCTGTGAACGCATATTTACAAACCGGAGCAGTATGAATCAACACATTAAGAAGACTCATATAGATACCTTCCATATAGCAGTGTAGTTGTTCACAGATGTATGATGTTGATACACCCACAGTGTACAATGTGTACTGTATATCTATTAGCCACATACAGACATTCTCCTAGGTGTACGGTGTACAATGTCAAGCGCTGTAAATATTCCACAGCTTAGTGTTTCCATTGTACTTTACTGTACTGTACTGTACAGTACAGAATTGCGTTTATGCTTCACACAGTTAATGATAGTTAATGAGATCCTCCAAGGCTAATTAAGATTGACTATCCTGATATCTAAGTATTTTTTTTTTTAATTTTACGCAGGATTTATTATGTTTTGTTTTCGTGCTTTCATTAATACGCATTATTCTTCAGTTTTATAATTTAGAGAACATGGATAATACAACAAATGTGAGAAAAGTCTCAGTTCTGGAGCTTTTGTACGCGATAACATTAAACCGAATCATATCTCCGCTCGACCCTGATTGAGTTAGCATAGATTCTACGCTTAAAGGTTATCCTGTACATGGGTACACACACGTATCACTTTTTTGTCTTATTTGTTTCTGTTGAGACCTTTTCTTGTTTAGTAGGTGGTGGTACAAGGTAAAATGGTCACCTTTAAAATAAAATAAAAATTTCATTTCAAGGGGTTTCTGTGTTTTCTTTATTTCCGTTTTAAATATTAACTTGCTGATTTCTATTGTTGTGGCAGCATTATTCATGTTTTTGCACAAAACTTTATTTATTCCTCTTAAATCCGTATTTCGGAACTAATTATTTGCTTCAGCTGAATTGGAGAATGAAATTATNCACCTCGATTAATAATTCCTTGAGTTTGTAACTCCTTAACCTGGTGTTGAAACAAGTTTTAAAACTGCTTTATAATCCTGGTTTTAATTTGCTTCATTCCTGCTTGTGATGCATAATCAAACCAAAAGTCTGAAGAAAAAAAACTTAAAATGAAATATTATTTGAAAATTTCAAATGTTGCTTGAAATGCTAGGCATTTTTAGTAGTATAATATTGTTATTCATTTTTTTGTGATTCATCATTATCTTTTTTATTTTTGTAAATTCGTATTTGATTTCGAATGAAAAATTTATTTTATTTTAGCCTCGGAGAACGGGTAGATTTGAACTATTTTATTAAAATTCAAACATGAAATATAGTAAAAATCTGTGGACTTATCCGGTTTCCTACAACTTAAAATGGCTTTTTGTCTTTATTTTTTAATGCCATTTGTCCTGATTTGGTATGACGAACCACTGAGTTTAATGAACTAAATTTGTATATTACAATAGTTAATCTAGTCTTCAGCGATGTTATTAAGTAAAAAAAAAACTGTTAAAATCGATGTGAATACATTATCATTGTGTTTTGGTATTGAATAAAATGTAAAAACTTAATTTAGCTGAGTTAAAAAATTTATAATCGGTCGTAGGTTTTATAGATTATTTTTCATAAGTAAAGTTAGATTCTCAACTTAACAAGTGTGTTTTGCAATATTTAAATCAATGACGTGAACTGGTTCTTAGAAATTTATAACAAATTTAATCTGAAAACTAAGAGACAGACTGAGAAGGTAATTTAGAAAGACTCTTTAATGGTTTAAAGCAAACACTCCGGAACTCTGATTTAACTCTTGGATTAAAAATACAAACAAGGTCTGATTAAACTCTTGGTCAAACTCTCTCCAGTAGGGTTTAGAATAAAATTGGCTGGAGATGAGTAGGTTGCTGGTTAGAGATGAGTGGGTTGCAGGTTGGAGATGAGTAGGGTTCAGGTTAAAGATGAGTAGGGTTCAGGTTAAAGATGAGAAGGGTTCAGGTTGGAGATGAGTAGGGTTCAGGTTGGAGATGAGTAGGGTTCAGGTTAGAGATAAGTAGGTTGCAGGTTGAAGATGTGGAGGATCCAGGTTGGAGATGAGTAGGGTTCAGGTTAAAGATGAGTAGGGTTCAGGTTGAAGATGAGAAGGGTTCAGGTTGAAGATGAGAAGGGTTCAGGTTGGAGATGAGTAGGGTTCAGGTTAGAGATAAGTAGGTTGCAGGTTGAAGATGTGGAGGATCCAGGTTGGAGATGAGTAGGGTTTAGGTTGAGGGTGAGTAGGATTCAGTTTGGAGATTAGTAGGGTTCAAGTTGGAAAGATCTACTCTAATCTGAGCCTTCTCAACCCGAACCCTTTATTTCAAACCCTAATTCTTCACACTTCAACTCTAAACTTCAATTAATTATATCAATTCATTGTCAGGAAATACTCTGTAATTTCAAAAATTTGGGTTTAGATCAAATTCCAAGAAAAGTGGGAATTTGTTTATATCTGTTCCCTCTCAGATTAGGGTTTCCAATGCAAGTGGATTTTACTTGCGCGCAATTGTGAGCCCTGTAAACTCCGTACAATTCGAGAACAGTTGCGAGCAATTCTGCGCAACGGAATTGCATTGGAAACCCTAATTCAGATCCAAAGAGTTATAATTCATTCCATACCATAAAGTTACGAACCTTAAGAAACTGCAGATAACTAATTGCGCAACGGAATTGCATTGGAAACCCTAATTCAGATCCAAAGAGTTATAATTCATTCCATACCATAAAGTTACGAACCTTAATAAACTGCAGAATAACTAATAAATAGAGAAAACTCTCAAGAAATATTAAGGATTAAATCGAATAATGAGGACTTGCAGACTTGTCATGAGAAGTGGTATTGTTACATCGTCTATACGCAACATCCCCCTACTGAACTTCTGACCTACTAACTTTCCGACCTACTGCAATATCGGACCTACGCCAGCTGTTTATTTTATTATTATTTGAGGGTTAGGTTATGTTAAGACAATTTCTGGGCCGAGCGCTGCGGCTAGGACAGGCTAGGGGGCCGGTTGCTGCGGCCACAAGTCCATATAGCAGCTGTAATACCACGTTCTAGTAGGTCGGATGTGTAGTATAGTGGATTTGGCGTAGGTCAGAAGTGGAGTATGGCGGATATGTGTAGGGAGGAAAATGCACCACCGTTTTTCATGATTGATTGGTTGGTTTATTGTGTTTATGAATATACAGCGGCACTATGCGCTTATATTGTATTTTTGTGGGCCACTGTATTACAGTTTACAGTTCTAGAACATTGCAGAAGGAAGTTCTGAACGTACTAATGAGACTTTATTCATTTATTAATAGGATACAAATTGATATTTCAGTTTTATAATTTTAGATTTAAATCTACATTTATTTAATTTTATTGTTACGTAACTTATCGGGTCGGTGAACTTTAAAAAATGCTTAGTCAGGACGTTTTAATTTGATCTACATCAAAACGGCCTCTCCTATAGAACTATTTTTGGCTTTCCCGTCCCCCCCCCCCCATCGGTTTTATGCATGGATCTCATATTTATCATATATATCATATTTTTTAAAGTTATTCTGTATTATTTTAGGGTTAGGTTAGGGTAAGACTGGGCCAGGACAGGCTAGGGGGCCGAGCGGTTTTGCTAGGACAGGCCAGGGGCCGAGCGCCGCGGCTAGTGAATAATATCCATGTGATACATATGAGATTCATATTCAAAATTGATGGGAGGGGGCGGTGGCTAAAATAGTTCTCTAGGAAATGACCGATCTAGCTTCAGTGAAACAACAAACTAAAATGTTCATATATTCTATGATTCGAATATGCACTGTGTATTTTGCGAATATCTTTTGAAATTCATCAGATTTAAATTGATGAAAATAAAATATATTGGATTTAATTTTGCATTTATCTACAAGACAATGACAGAGCATGTATGCAGTAGATATCCTTAGTATCAGGCATTAATTTCACATTTTCATAATTAAATTAATATTTTTAGAATTTTATTCCTTGTAATATTTGAGGATGGTTCTACCTCCTGATATAAACTATGATGAGAAGAAGCTGTTAGCGCACAAATTTGATAGTTTACTCCTCCTTCTCTTTACATTCCTTCTCACCCTTACAGTTTTAACAATATGGCTCTTCAAACACAGGTGAGAGAATGGGATGGATGTATTTACTATTTAATATTTATTCAGGGGAAATTTTCTCAAATTACCCAAAGGTCAGAAATTTTGTGTGAATATTGTAAATCATTAGTGGTTAATCTCGATTTTAAATTTAGACATTTTTAAACATGAGGTTCAATGCTTGATCCCTGTTTTCAAGTTATCCGTGCAGAGAATTAAGAGGAATGAAAGTATTCTGTAGAGTGAAGGTGTCCATAAGATGAGGATCATTGCTTGATCCCTGTTTTCAAGTTATCCCTGCAGAGAATAAAGAGGAATTAAAGTATTCTGTAGAGTGTAGGTGTCCATAAGATTAGGATCATTGCTTGATCCCTGTTTTCAAGTTATCCTTGCAGAGAATAAAGAGGAATTAAAGTATTCTGTAGAGTGTAGGTGTCCATAAGATGAGGATCATTGCTTGATCCCTGTTATCAAGTTATCCCTGCAGAGAATGAAGAGGATTTTGAAGAGGAATTAAATTAATCTGTAGAAGATGAAGATCAATGATTGATCCCGAGATTTCCTATTCAAAAATTCTGCAGGAATCAACCATTGATCCTCAAACCCAAATTGGATATCGAGATCAAGTGTTAAACGATATCCACTCAAAAGTTTCGATCTATAACAGTAAAACAATTGTATTAAAATATTCCGAATTATTCTAGCCTGCCTGTCATACTCACTTTATTGTTCGCAGAGTAGAGCTTAAATCCTTAATTGTACCACGTGTATTGATTGTGACCAATCGTTATACTGAAATATGCTTCGATAAATCTCATTTAGTAAATATACCTGTTGAATTAAATCTTGGAATTTTAAGGGACCATAGATATAACATGCAATTTATAGAGCGGTATATCGGATTCACAAAGGTATCCTTCAGTGGCGCAGTTAGCTTTATTTTGAATTTCTTTCAGAATTTTATGAGAACTAAAAACTTTATCGTATTCCCAATTCTACATGATTCTTTGAATGGAATTTCTTATGTTTATTATTTTAGGAGAATTGCTTTTGTTCACGAGACAGGGTTGGCTATTGTATACGGGCTAATCATGGGTGCAATCATTAGGTTTGGAGTACAGGAAGAAAAAGAGGTGATTTCAAAATTATTATTCAAACTTTACCATAAAAAACTAGCAAAATTTATAATTCTACTTATAACCATTAACAGAAAACATCCCTGCTTTTAACCACAAAAATATCCCTGATTTTAACTTAAATTATCCCTGCTTGTAACATCTAATATCCCTGCTTTTAACCGATAATATCCCTACTTGTAACATAAAATATCCCTGCTTTTAACTGAAATTATCCCTGCTTTTAACCGATAATATCCCTGCTTTTAACCGATAATATCCCTGCTTTTAACCGATAATGTTCCTGCTTTTATTCGAATATTCCTTTGCTTTTTACCGTAAATATCCTTACTTAAAACAAAAATATCCCTGCTTTTAACCGATAATATCCCTGCTTTTAACCGATAATATCCCTGCTTTTAACCGATAATGTTCCTGCTTTTATTCGAATATACCTTTGCTTTTTACCGTAAATATCCTTACTTAAAACAAAAATATCCCTGCTTTTAACCCCTAATATCCCTGCTTTTAACCGATAATATCCCTGCTTTTAACCCCTAATATCCCTGCTTTTAACCGATAATATCCCTACTTATTTTAAAAAATAAACCTGCTTTTAACTACAAATATCCCTGCTTTTAACTAAAAATATCTCTGCTCTTAACAACGTGTCCAACGTTTATTTAATCAATATAATTTAGACAATACGTATGAACGTGGTACCAGAGCACAACCGTCCCATGGATCTGAGTAAACAGGGTATCCCGGATCAATTGTATCTTCTAACAAGACAAGCCAAGGACACGGATACAGAGTTTGATAACAGAACCTGGGTCTATACTTTTAAAGGTTATCATTTTAAAGATATTAATTCTTCCTTCCGCAATCTGCTTTTATCGTGTTTAAAAATTCCATTAAAAATCTCTCCGAAACTATTTAGGTTAAAACCAATGTTCATCAAGGATTTGAAACTCCATCTTAAGTTTGAACTAAAAGCAAACCTCCATTTTTTTATTTTATTTTGTTTTGATTTGTTCAGGAGAAGTGAAGGATGCCAATGAGAGTGAGATCGATGAGAAAGCAATCTTTGATCCTGAAATATTCCTGAACGTACTTCTTCCTCCGATCATCTTCCACGCCGGATATTCGATGAAGAAAAAATACTTTTTCCGGAATCTTGGATCCATCTTTACATTTGCCTTCATCGGTACAACAATATCCACGTTTAGTGTTGGCGGGCTCATGTTCGGGGTGTGTCAGCTGGTTCCACATCTCAGTAATGTCACATTCATCGACAATCTTCAGTTTGGAGCTCTCATTTCATCCACAGATCCGGTCACAGTTCTCGCCATTTTCAGGTCAAAATCAAATCTTCCTTTTTTAGATTTCGTCGCAATTTATTTTATTTTCTGAATTTAACCTGAAAGACCCGCCTGACCAGGGACGGTTATTGAGTAAATATTTTAGTGATTTGAACGTTGACGTGAATCTGCATGCACTTGTGTTCGGTGAGAGTGTGTTGAACGATGCTGTGGCGATTGTCTTCTCAGAAACTCTCAAGGTTTTCACTTTTTTACAAGCTCCCATTATATCTTTTAAGAAATTTACTTGAAGTACATCCTTTTATACACCCTATAGCATTTAATCTCAACAGAAAGCTATTTTTTTATGTGTCTTCCCACCCCAGCAAAAAAAAATATCAACACCTTCACTTTTTTTCATTTGATACTTTATTTTTACAAAAATGGGGATCCGGCTGCTAAAAATAAGAATGATAAAATCCTTAGCAACATAAAATAATTTAAATGAATATTTTATATTATAAAGGACTATGAGGAGAACGTGGCGGAGTGTGGTCCCGATGAGAACTGTTCCTACACAGCTCTCCAGGTCTTCAAGGCTATCGTTGATTTCTTCGGTATATTCGGAGCTTCCTTCCTGGTCGGCACCATCATGGGATCCCTCACTGCGCTCATCACTAAATTCACGCACATCAAGTAATATTATAAATTTTTGACTTCGTCGTTAAACCCCTCTCCTTCTCCCCCCGGGAAAATTTTCAGATAGGCAGGGGGAGGGGTTGGGAGATAAAAGCCGTGTCCTTTTTTCATACAATGCAAAAAATTATTTACTTTTCAAGTCAGGGAAGTAGTTTTTGCGCTCCACCTTAAGGGATGAATTTTACAACTTTTCGGAAAGTGATTTTTGTTTCATTCAGATTTTCCTTTCATACTTTCCATTTCTTGGTTTTGTATTCAGCTTTAGAAATTTGTATTTTTATTGTTATTCAAGATTTCATTTTTTCATTATGCTATGTACTTAATTACTTTTTCGGGGGAATAAATATTTATTGTAAAAGCTTCCCTCATCTTTTTTAATACACCTATTTTCTCTCTTTTTTGTTTTTGATACACCTTTTTTCTCCCTTTTCTGTTTTTGATACACCTCTTTTTTTTTCAACCTTTCTCCTGGCCGAGGTATTCGAGTTGACCGGTATAGTTGCTGTTCTCTTCTGTGGAGTCTGTCAGGTTAGATTTATTTTCATTTTTAACCAAATAAATGAGGAAAAAATTGCCAGAACGGAAATTTTATCGGGAATTTCTGTCTTTTAGATATTCCAGCATATTTAGCTCTTAGGAGGCTTCACAAAAATCAACGAAGTTTTATGTCTAAAAAAATTATTTCCAATCCTAAGTTTTCTTCTTCTTCTTCACTCTTCAGTTTAAGATTTGAAAAGTGTGAAAACTCTGAGTTCCCGGGGGGGTGGGGTTACGCCCGCTTGCCCCACCCCCCTATATACACCCTTGTTAAATCCTAGCATTATACCAGGTTAATGTGTTGTAAGGTTGTAAGGATTTTATTTTAATATTTTTTGGTTTGTAATAAAAGTTAAAACAATCCCTTAGTTAAAGACCCAATCGGTTCAGTCGTGTTGGTAATGATGAAAACAAACAATCAAGGTAAATATATAAATATATTGTTTAGGCCCATTATACGTACAACAATCTGTCTCAAGAGTCTCAGATTACAACCAAAGGATTCTTCGATATTATCAACTTTATGGCAGAGAACTTCATTTTTTCATACATAGGTAAATTAAATTCGTGTTCATTTTTTATTTTTTTCTCGTTTTTATTTAAAAATATCTGTTTTTTGTTCTTCTGACAACCATTTTATATTTCTTACGGAAAAGTGAAAAAATTAAACATCAGATATCATATCTTAATTAATGTGTTTATTTTTAATTTAATCTGTAAAAATATTAGCAACTAGCTCTAAATAAGATTTCCAATTAAACATTATTTTATTATTTTTAAGGGGTTGCTATGTTTACGTTTCCAAAGCACAGGTTCGACGCGACCTACATTGCCGGAGCATTCATCGCAATGCTTATTGGTCGTGTTCTCAACGTGTACCCGCTCTCAGGCCTTCTAAATATAGGACGGAAAAACAAAATTTCTGGAAAAGTTCAGGTGAGATTATTTTTGTTAAATTATTTAAAATGTCTTCCATTCTTTTGGAGATCTGTCATCCTTCCCATTCTATGATATTCCCTTACAAAAAAATCGAAAAGAAAAGTGAAAGAAGATACCCTATATATTTATATATTTTTTAGCATATGATGGTGTTCTCTGGACTCCGCGGTGCCATTGCATTTGCGCTTGCCATTCGAAATACACTGACTGAGTCTCGTCAGCTTATCCTCTCCACAACTCTTATCATTGTCATCGTTACGGTCATATTCAACGGAGGAATGACGATATCCGTCCTGTCCTGGCTCAAAATTCCAACAGGTAAAAAAAAACATGCCATTCATGGATGATTAATGGGGATAAACTAAGAGTCAGTATTAAGGATCTTTTTTTCAAGCGATTGTCCTTTCTCCGATCAACACTTTTTCGATTTCGATTATCTCTGCTGCATAAATTCGCATATCTTATTGCTAAAGGAACCATATTGGGAAAGTTTCAATTTTATCCACTTTGCTGAGACGAAGGTTTATTGGGTATAGGAGGCTCAATGGTTTAAACTGAGGCTCACTAGACCGTCGACAGTCTGTTAAGTAATAAAATCATACTGATGGTTGTGTATCAGGTGTTGAGGAGGATGAGAGGGATGGATTATCAGGATCCAACCCTAACAGCTACCAGAGCGTGGAAGGAGCTGAAACCAATCAACCTCCCAGGATCAAACCAGACAAATCCTGGGTTGCGAAGAAGTGGAGCGGGATGGATCGAAGATTTTTTAAACCTCTCCTGACACACAGTCATCCCACTCTCCTAGATACACTGCCAACTAGATGCCTGGGGTTGGGACGTATCCTCACTAGCTCCGAGCAGTTGATGCATCATCCTATGATGAAGAAGGTTGAAACTGCTGATACAGAAACACTTCATTTAGCTGACAGTTCACAGGTAGTATTTAATACAGTTATAATCAGATAGACCCGGCATTAATGGACAGTTAATCAGCCGACTTTACATATATATCTCTGGCAATTTTTAAATCCTCAAAAAAAGGCAGACCTCTATTTGGAAATGGTAGGACTAGAGCTATAACAGGGGAAATTTGCCCATTTCTAACACTTAAATGGGCCAAATCTGCAAAGCTATCTTTTCCAAGCGTACATATCTTTAAATCCAAGCCGAGTTGATCAGAACTACACCATACATTTTTAAAAAATGGCTAAACCTATATATTGATACAAAAAATGTCAACTTTAAACTAATAATAAGGTGTGAGAATCTAAACAAAATAGAAAATAAAAACATATTGTTCTTTTATAATTAAAAAAAACATAACTGCATTGAGAAATCAAAGTATTAATATTATTTTGTTCTTGCAATGTAGATATTACCAGAAATGCGGAAAAATTGTTTATTTAAAATGCAGGAAATTAGATGAACTTTATTCTCTTATTTAACAAATAAAATAAAAAAATAAAAACGGGAAAGTGGGTTTTGTCTCGAAACGTGACAATGATTCCAATTCAGGATATGTTCTTGATGCTTAATAAAATGTTAGTTATAGTTTTTACCATCGAATTTTACTCTCAGTTTGGGCCGGGATCCTAAAAACCCAGTCTTTCAATTTGTGCCCGATTTGTTAGAAATGGACGAAGTGTTAGTTTTGGGAACTAATGCCCTGTGTGTTAATTGACGTTTCATCAATCATATTTATAAAATTAGATTGTAAAGTCGTTTGATTAATAATGAATTAATTCCGGGTCTTACTGATTAGGACTGTAAGTAAAGATGGACATATCTTCTATTTGAGATTTGATGATCGAGTGAATGATACCAAAAGTTACCAACATTGTTTTTTTTTAGTTGATTGTTATTGTCTTGTTGCTTACACACACGTTTCGATTAAAATTACAACTAAAAAATTAATTAAAAGTTATGATTCTTAAATATTTGATACTTGGTATCGCACCCACACAATATTAAAATTTAAATCAATCAGTATATCAGGAGGGGGAGGGGGGGGGACTTTTGATGTATCCCTTACATTCTTCTAAACTTTTTATCTTGAAGTAAATAGAGAAAAAGATTTATTAAAACAAACTAACAAATAAATTGGTTTCAATAATTTGCTAACCCCAAAAATTGGATTTATTGTGAATGTACGAATTTTTCAGGATGGAGATGAATCAGGATTTTTGCCAGCATCACCAGATAATTTAAAGTCCTAAACGACTTTCCGTATTTTTTCAGAAATCCAGGATTTAGCTTAAACATGCTGATTTTATTTTGATCTGATGCTAGATCTTATTTTATTTGTATAATGAATTTTATCCCTTTTAAAAGTTTAACCCCTGCTCGTTTTGTCCGAGAATTAACTTAAAGAACGAAGGCTTGTGATTTCTAGTATTCTAAGTTAGATAATACAGTGCTAGTTTAATATCTTTTAAAGAAAGGCAAGGCATGGGGTTATTAGACATTGTAATATTATTGAATGCTAAATTTGTCTTTCCCCTCACACCTCATTATGAATTTTTTCGACCCGGCTAAAGTATGAGCGCGTTCTATGTAAATGTACATACAGGGTGTCCCACGAAACATGACAATAGCAAGACGACTTGAAAGTCGTCTTTGATATTTGAATTTATTTGTGACATTTAGTTTTCTATCTACTTTAACATGTATGATTCTTGAAACAATTATCAATTAATTCTCTTAGCCCTGACATTTCCAAAAAGTGGTCTGCATTTTTTGTGCTTTCAATATTACCGGAGATAAAAAGAGTTTGGTTCAGATTTCAATTTTATTAAATAAAAGCAAAATTGTCGAAGTCTGAACGAAATTGTTCATATCTCGGGCAATATTGAAAGCACAAAAAATGCAGACCACATTTTGGAAATGGCAGAACTAGGGGAATTTTGTGATTATTATCTCTAGAAATTTACTTTAAAATTATGTTGACAAATAAATGCAGCAAATTATATCAAAAATCAAGACGACATTCAAGTCGTCTTGCATACTGTCATGTTTCGTGGGACACCCTGTATACTTATTACTTATAAACAAGTTAGTGCCTTCAACTTTTCAAAAAAAAAATAAGTTAATTATATAGTACTTAGCATTAGTTTTATTAAGTATGGACCTGTGGTATATAGTTATAGCGGCCAAAAATGAAATGACAACTTATTTTGTTTTTTTTTCAGTCAGAAACCTTAAATGTTAAAGACCTGTGATATGCTTCTTTCCAGCTTTCGATCTACGAAATGTCAAGCCAATTGAATACACATTAGTTATCATACAAATCATAAAAGTGTACATTGTTGCGACAAGAAAGGTTATACAAAACATTTTCCAGAATAAAGCGATCAGCAGTGGAATATTTTCAAATATAAAAAATGTTGAATATTTTAAAGTCCTGGAAGTTTCGGTTCCATCATTTAGCCTTTATATTTATGATTTTTTGTTAAGTCCTTTAGTATTTTTAATCATGGATAGAAATTATGTTTTGAGATCAAGGGAGGTTTGTATTAATGTTGTCTTCCATTTTATATATAATTGTGATAGTTAGCTTATTTTAAAATGCAATACATATATTTTAGTATTACAACTATTTATGCCATGATGATGAGCTAGAATAAATTATCTATTTTACTGCGAGTTTTATTAAAAAAATATCATTTATTATTATTAATATAATAAAATCGATTTTTGAATGTGTTCCCTCCAAATGTCAGCCCATTCGGTCCAGCCGTTTGGTCAGCTGTAGTTAACATGCATATAAATATATAGATATGAGTTTTAATATATAGATTAAGAACTTTATGCCATAAGGATAAGGTAGACTAAATCATTCAATTTACTGTTAATTTTATTCATAAAATATAACTATTAATAATTATTTTTGCCATGATACTAAAGAAAAATAAGTTAGTTATTTTACTGTTAATTTTGTTCATAAAATATTATTATTATTATTACATTAATAATAACAATTTCATTCTTTCTAAAGCATGTTTATAACTTTGTACTTATGAAACAGTTATTTTAAGAAATGCAATAAATTTGTAAAATCTCTCCCGGAGAAGTAATAAACACTTCTAATATATATTAATACAAGAGATTTGTATTTTATGGTGTGCACTCTCTAATTTATTTAGGTTTACCTCAGACTAACTGCTAATCCTAAACAATTAACATTTAAGTTTTTTCTGCACAATTTTTTATTAGGCTTGGGTGATTTTGCATATTTTTTTTGCAAATCCAACGTATATTTATATATTTTTAATTAGCAAACTATTGTTTGAGTTTATCTCAAGAATGAGAACAGCAAATTGTTTGGTTCGAATCCCAACTTTTTCCTTTAGTCAAATAATCCAATTATTAATTATGTTTTTTAAAATTCTTACACTATTTCCAGTAGTGAAGAAGATACTAATAAAGGGGAAAATTTCCCCTAGCCTACAGTGAGAACATGAAAACTCTGGAATAAGATAACGACTTAAAGGCACAAGCATGGGCGTAAATAAGGATTCTGTAGAGGGGGGGGTAACATTTTTGAACGCGCCGATAATTTTTTTTACCCCCCACTAGAAAAATATCATGATTTATATCAAATTATTGGTTTTAATTGGATTTGATTTGCATTTTCCATTCATTTCTGGCATTTACAAACTCCATCAAATAAAGGCTTCATTTCATCTAGACGGGATCGTGATGGCGTACCCCATTTAGATCGAGGAGCCCACGGGACTTCCCTAGCTTCTTGAATTGAAAGGCTTCATTTCATACCTTTCAGCTTTCACCTTGTTATATATCCTTCATTAGAGTCATTCATTTTACATTAACTACAAAGATCTGTAAAAAAACTGAATTTATTTTAAGTAAGATTAAAAAATAATAGTTTCACTCTTAAGAGGAAAAAGATGTTACTTTTTTAAATCTTCAGAAAAGCTACTCTGCAATACTTTGAAAAAATATTTTCTTGCCCATACCCTTTTTTTCTATTTAAAAAACATCTAATTGTAATGACATTGACTATTGCTTTAGAAGTTAGAATTATTTAGAATAGGTTGACTTATTTAATCTGAAATATCTTAAGATCTGCACATTTAAATTATTTTCGTGCAAAGGAATTGAGTCCACCGTCTTTGCCACAAACTATGATTTCATAATCCATATATCTTTACACCCCTATGTCGTAGACCTTAGACATTTCAAACTATGATATCTGTTAGATCAAATAATATAAGTTTGAAATATCAAAGGTTTACACCACTAGGTTTTATAGATATAGGGATAAGAAAATTTTAGTTTGTGTCAAAAACTCAATTCCTTTGAAAAATATTCAATTTTAAAATCAACCTTTTCTTAATAACAAAAACAAAGTAACAACTCGCTATTCAGGGCCTGAATAGTTCAGGGGTAATTACCTTCAGGATTCTAAGGGGGGGGGGGAAATA